CATCTCCACACGCCAGGGACAAAAGTCAGCGTACCCATCTAGCTAATGTGGTGCTCGTAAGTGTTTTTTACGGTTTGTTATAAGAAACGAGAAGTTGGTCCTATTGTGAAGACCGGAGAGGTGTAGTAACCTCCACATAATCTAACAAAGTGTTCACCACGCAGAGATGGGGAACCGACGGAAAATACAGGTTTGGCACGGATGTGGAGTCCGTCTTGGTCCATTGTGATACCGCAAAGGAAACTCCTTACAGAGATAGCGAAAAACCATCCACATCAAATGCTTGAACGTCCGAAACCCGACAGAAAGTAACGAGACAGAAAAGAAGTGTGAGTTTGGCCGAGAGTTGTCAAAGCAATCCCGAAGGAAGCAAATAATTATATCTACGTCCCATAACCAAGTATACTTCGGGGCTGGGACGTAGATAGTTGGCTGGGCCTGGATAGTTTGATACCTTGCAATAAGTAACATATGAAAGGGTCCTGCCCGACTGGAATGCCCTGGAGTGGGACGTGAGCCGCCGAGATGGAATTACGCTGATGGAACAATATGAGGTGCTTTAAATGGATCGTAGTTCCTCTCCAGACACCAGCGATTCCAAGTATTCTATGCCTAGTTCCTGGTGCCCACGAGTCTCTAGTCGATTGCGATAGCCCCTTCGACAGACCAGGATTCCCTGAAATACTTCAGGCCACCAATTCCAAACATTCCTGTAGGATCAGTGGATGGGGTTCTCCTTGTGGGTTCATTAGAAGGAGGGGAAACGATGAGGAGCAGCTATGGATCCTGAGATAGAGCCAACAGATCTGTGAACCACGCTTGACTCTACCACAATGGTGTGAGGAGTATCATGGAGATCCTGGTAAAGCAAAGGACGATTAAGGACTCTCGCCAACATCTACAAAGGTGGGAACGTATATGCCCTTTGAGTTGGCCATGGTTGTAGAAAAGCATCTTCTACTTTGCATTGTGGGTCCGGAAGCCAGCTGTAGCATCTCGGAAGTTGTGTGTTCGTCTTTGTGGAGGACCCCCTGGTACCCCAACTAGGTACCTCCACCAAACACGCTCCTTAGCTATCACCGGGACACCATCAGCACTTCAGCCCCTAGCCGCCGCAGCTTGGCCGGGGTCTCGACGTCGCTTACCACCCTGGAACAGGGTCCTGGATCCAGCTTCTAGTGATTAAAGCTCTCCTGCGTAGAATATAGCCGTATAGCTGGTACACTCAAACACTAGTTGAGAATGAGTGAAGGGTGTAAAGGAACTGGTTTATTATGGCCATGTTGCCTGCTTTTATACACAGCCCCCAGCATGGGGTCTCCATTCAATGCAAACAAGCCCCTACCATAAATCTCTGTGCCTGGGAGATAATGGCGTTAAATAGCGGTAAGCTAATTATATCTCAGGAACAGAGAGGCAACCATAAAAATATAAAACATAACAATACCCCAGAATATCATAAAAACATAAAATAACCCCACAAATTATACATCCACAAATAGCCATGATCTAAGTGCCCAAGTTCTCCAAATAGCGTTCAGATCCATGCAGTGTAGGGGGAACACCACCATGTTAACGTTCTGACCGACCGCACACGTGGTCTTATGCCCAAAACAGTTCCAGGGCATTTGGTGCTTTGGCTGGTCAACTTTGGGGAGCTCCTGCGGCTGGCTCTTAGGTAGCGTTTGTGCCCCTTAGTCTCAGGCACCTTCCCTCCAAAAAGCGTTCTCCTCTCTAAGTCGTTCAAAATGTGCGACTGGGATGAGCGGTCGAGATGTAAATGGGTTGTAGCCCGTGTAAGTGGGAGACAATGAGGAGTCTCAATATTGTTATTATTATACCCTTGTTATTCCCCAAAGATGTGGGGTCGGTACCACTGAGGGGGTCACACTCTCGAATTGCATGTTATATACAGTTCATAACAGTTGTAGCATGGAGGTGACGTATTGCATAACATTGATAGGACCTGTGGTCTATATGTGGTACCAATGGGGGATAGCGCCGTATAACAGTGCCTCTGTGGGCTATAATGTGTGGGGGTCACCTCATCATTAGGGGGGTCACCTCATCATTAGGGGGGTCACCCTTGTTAACGTTTTGCTTAATGACAAAATCTGAATGCACATGTGAGAGTTGGGGTCACCCCAGTAATGAGTGGGGTCCCCCTTAAAGGTAATGTCCCGCACATTGTACGGTCCGGTTAGGCCCTGTTAATTTGGAACAGAAGGGGTGAGAGCTAAATATATATATAGGAAATACTTAATAAGTTGAGGTTCACTCCTTAGGGTACAGTTACAGAACAGGTCTAAACAAAAAAACATTAGATATTTCATGAAAACTTAAGCGTGATCATCGCACTATTAAGAGATTTGTGGCTGATTCAGAGCACAGACGGGTTCGTGCAGATAAAGGCACATTGAGGAAGATTTCTGCCAGATCCATGCATCGGATCAAGAGAGCAGCTGCTAAAATACCATGACATAGCAGCAAACAGATATTTGAAGCTGCTGGTGCCTCTGGAGTCCCACTGACATCAAGGTGTAGAGTCCTCCAGAGTCTTGCAACTGTACATAAACCTTCTATTCGGCCACCACTAACCAATGCTCACAAGCAGAAACGGCTGCATTGGGCAGAAAAATACATGAAGACTAATTTTCAAACAGTCCTGTTCACTGATGCGTGCTGTGCAACCGTGGATGGTCCAGATGGATGGAGTAGTGGATGCTTGGTGGACAGCCACCCCATTCCAACAAGGCTGCGACGTCAGCAAGGCGGTGGTGGAGTCATGTTTTGGGCCGGAATCATGGGAAGAGAGCTGGTCGGCCCCTTTTAGGGTCCCCGAAGGTGTAAAGATGACCTCTGCAAAGTATGTGGAGTTTCTGACTGACCACTTTCTTCCCTGGTACAGAAGGAAGAACTATGCTTTCCATAATAAAATCATCTTCATGCATGAACATGCACCATCTCATGCTGCAAAGCATACCTCTGCATCAATGGCTGCTATGGGGATAAAAGGAGAGAAAGTCATGGTGTGGCCTCCATCCTCCCCTGACCTCAATCCTATTGAGAACCTCTGGAGCATGCTCAAGCAAAAGATCTATTAGGGTGGGAGGCAGTTTACATCCAAACAGCAGCTCTGAAAGGCTATTTTGACATCTTGCAAACAAATTCAAGCAGAAACTGTCCAAAAACTCACAAGTTCAATGGATGCAAGTCTCGTGAAGCTGCTATCAAATAAGGGGTCCTATGTTAAAATGTAACATGACCTGTTAAAATGTTTAAAAAGTTAAAATGTTGTTATAAGTTTGATTGAAATAGCTTTTGATTTCAGTAAATATGCTGCAAACACAACAAATTACAATTTTCAGTTGTTTACAACCTATAAAGTGTTTTCAAACTTACTGTGCATAATAATTTGGAAGAGTGCATTGTAAGTTTTTTATGTTTAAAAAAATACTGTTATCATTAGGAGGTTTGTTCAATACATTTTGAATTGTACTCTTAATAGTTGATAACATGAGAATTATACTGACTGTTATTTACATCAATTCTTTAGGTAAATTAAAAAAATATAATTTGCATAATAATTAGGAACAGGGTGTAGTATGATGCAGGCCAAATTGTTTGAATCAAGATATGGCTAATTAAAATGGACCACTTGAATCACGAGGACTCGCGAGATGCAAGATTAAATTTTGCGATTGCAGCATACCGGTGGTGAAGTGAGTGCGCCCCTCGCTCTCCCCGCCCGCAGTATCCCTCAGGCTAGCCTCAGAACCGGCAGTTGAAGCTGTAAAACGGCACGATCACGCGCCTCGACGTGCGATAGAGAGGTAAGAGGAGAGAGAGGTCAGGGCAGCCTTAAGGCTCAGGCCCACTGACGTATAAAATACTATGGGCCGCAAAAGGGGAAGAGAAATATTTGCAAAGTAGGAATAAGGGGCAGTTTAATGGGGAAAGGAATAGGAACTCAGAATGTCACGATAACTGTGGCAAGAAAAAAGGGGTAACCCTAAGTAAGTAGTGATTAAATAGGAAAGTGCTTGCCTACAGGTGTCAATTGGTTAAAACATAACATTTAATACATTTGTTTAAAATCTTGCCATTGATAATCAGCAAATAGATGAAAAATTATTATTAAATTCTAAAACTATTAATAGTTTAGAACAAAGGACAAAAAGAAAAATGTATAAAGAAAATAAAATTTAAAAAGGGACTATTGTAGAATAATCCTAATTATTACTGAGATTGCAGCATGAGTCCAAGCATAAGTAATTAATAGTGTACATTCAGAAATGCCAGTGAAAATGAAGCTGGCAATTATAAGAGACACTAAATATCAATAGAGTAAAATATAACCACTAACTATAGTTTAGTATACTATAGTATCAGTTTCCCTTGAAGGGAACTATCAGTGTAACTATGCTAGATTATACACTCTGTAGGAGAGGAACTCAGCCAATAAGGGGCAAGACAGGCTTAGAGAGAGCAGGGGGATATGATAAGAAACAGTTAGAATTAAATCAATGATATAATAATACAACATGCATTAAAATATCCTCAGAACAAATTACTCTGACCTGTGCATAGTAGGAGCAGCAAAGAAAGAGGAGGGGTTATGCCTGTCAAGACTCTATGGGGAATGTGTTACTCGTTTTTGATTGGTTTAAAGGGACACCCCAGGCACCCAGACCACTTCTGCCCATTGGAGTGGTCTGGGTGCCAACTTCCACTACTCTTAACCCGGAACTGTAATTATTGCAGTTTTTTTATAAACTGCAATAATTACATTGCAGGGTTAACTCCACCTCTAGTGGCTGTCTACTAGACAGCCACTAGAGGGCACTTCCTGATTCATAGCAAAGATTTTCTTTGCTAGAGCGTTGCTGGACGTCCTCACGCTGTGTGAGGACCTCCAGCGTCGCTCAATTCTCCATAGGAAAGCATTGAAAATCTTTTTCAATGCTTTCCTATGGGGAAACCTAATGCGCGTGTGCGGCATTGCCGCGCATGTGCATTAGGTTTTCTCAGCTGGCGGGCGGGATCAGTCTCGCCCACCGGCTGACGTGATTACTGGGAGGAGCGACGCCGACCCGAAACCACCGCCGAGGAACATCGGCGAGGTCTCAGGTAAGTGACCTGAAGCGGTTTTCACCCCTTCAGCTACCTGGGATGGGAGGTGGGAGGGTCATGAGACACTACAACTGATCATGCCCTACACAAATGAGGACCGGTACCTGCCGCAGATCACCAAGAGGGTACAAGGAGACACCATACCAGGCCAAGGAATGGACTACCGGTTAAAGCACACTAGTGGCATTGGGTGAAGGATTGCAGCTACCTCCATTCCAGCTACCATCGTGGTCTAAATGCAGGACTTAATATGTGCTCACATTATTATTGTTAGCTAAATACCCAGTGGTACAAACATTCCATTTCATTTAATTTGTTTTATATGTTTGATAAGCCGGTTACTAAACATATATGTTTGAACAAATAAAAATGCTGCGCTAAATAAAAATATAAAAGAGTCTCTTAGAGTCTTAACTGGAGTAGGATCTTCTTTCAGTCCAAAGTCCGTAAAGTGCTTGGTCTTGGAAGGTGCTTATCCCAAGGAGAAGTATCCTGGCTGCTTTTTCTTCAACAGAATCAATAGCTTTGGAACGAAAAAAGCAGACACACAAACCAAAAAATAGTGTAATACGTCCTATATAATACAGGAAATAATATGAAAAGAGGTATTACACTCACGTGGGATAGAGCTGTAACTAGCTCTAGTATAGCAGGCGTGCAGCAGTATGATCCCCGCTTACAGGATATAATGAAGGATACGTTGCAGGATTCTTTGTCCACGGGAAGATGGTGCACTCATACGAAAATAGAGAAACAACCAATAGTGCTCACTGATTGGAATAAAATAAATAAAATTTATGGTATAAGAGCATAGCTTGTGCTGGTCTGTGCCATATTGGGGGGGATTTAGCATTTGTCAGTGTCCCTTTATATCAAGTTCACTGGGCCCTTGTCAGAGTCTCTTTCTCCCGATACCTTTTTTGCAAAAGTGTACGTCCGGCGCTGGAGTTCTGCTTCTTGCCGCTGTGCGGGTGTCCGTGGGGGTGTCCCTCCCACTCCAGGCTGGCTTGGAGGCCTGCACCTTCTTGCCACTAACTCGGTTACCGCTAGTGTCCGGGTTTCCTCCACGTGTGGGAGTGACGGGGGAGCTGGTCTTTTCCTGTCGCTTGCGTGTCTTGTGAAGCTGCATTCTTAGTGAGCTGTCTGGGAGGGAGGGTCTGCTGCTGATTGGCTGGAATGTGTCTGCTGACTGTGAGGTACAGGGTCAAAGTTTACTCAATGATGAGTCCGCGGCGAACCGTTCGTGGCGAACCGTGGCGAACCGTTCGCGAACCGTTCGGCGAACCGTTTGGGACATCACTAGTTGCTACTGTTGGGGCTTCATCGCATGTTACATCAACATTATGTTATGCTTGTCGGGGTTTTTGAACCAAGCATACATTTCGAACTACAAACCTGTTCTTATCCTTCAGATAGAGAAAAGGTTGGTTTCATTATAACCCTTCTGGTCGATAAAGCTTTAACCTGGGCTAATCCTCCATGGGAGAACGAGAAACCATTGGTGTACAATTATGATGCTTTCATAGCTGTGTTTAGATGAACTTTTGACCCCCCTGGTAGAAAAGCAAATGCTGCCAGAACATTACTTTGTCTCAAGCAATGTAATAGATCTTTGGTCAATTATGCCCTGGAGTTCAGGTCCTTAGATGCTGAAGTAGCTTGGAACAACCAAGCTTTTGTAGACGTGTTCTTTAATGATTTGTCTGATGTGATACTGGATGAGATAGCTACCAGAGAACCTAGAGGACTTGATATCCTTTATATCATGTAAAGATGAACGTATGTGGTTTAGACAAAATACCAGAGATCGTCCTAGAAGGGCCTCTGTCCGTTTAGCTCCTGCCTTTCACCCCCCTGATTCTATGGCATTGGCATTACCCGAACCAATGCAATTGGGGGTAACAAGGCTGACTGAAGCAGAGAAACAGTACAGTAGGAGGGAAGGCTTATGTATGTACTGTGGACAAAGAGAATATCTCCGACTGCGATGCCCAAGCAGGCCAGAAAACTCCTGCACCTAAGTTCCTTTGGAGGACAGGCCTTGGGTGTCTTTGTCCTCCTTCAAAAAACACAAAGATCACAGGCTTCTAATTCCCATCACCTTAATCTGGGAGAAAAATAGAGTTCAAACTATGGTGTTGATAAACTCAGGGGCAGCAGAATGTTTTATAGATATAAATTTTGCTACCTCACAATTAGAGTTGAGCGGACAACTGGATGTTTGGGTTCGGCCAAACTTCGAAAAAAAGTCCGGGTTCAGGCTTGAACTTGACCCCTAACTTGACCCCGAACCCTATTGAAGTCAATGGGAACCCGAACTTTTGGGCACAAAAATGCCTCTAAAAAAGTCCTGGAAAGAGCTAGAGGGCTGCAAAAGGAAGTAAAATTGGGGTAAGAGTAGGACAAGTGCCCTGCAAACAAATGTGGATAGGGAAATCACTTAAAATAACATAAAATACATACAATTTAAAAATACAGCTGAGCCATAAAAAAGCACTAGATGGAATCTTTGATTTTAGCTTTGGAAGAACATAAATCAAAATCTAAAGCATGGCTGTCAGGAGGATCACCAGAATTATCCATTTGAGAGAGGGTTGGAGTGCAGCTCCTGATGCATAGAGAAAAGGCCTTCACAAGCCTCTGCTATTGTGTACATAGTTTATACTAGGTGACCCATAGGTTGAGGAGGTGGTGACTGTGGCGGTGTAGGTGGAGGAGGAGGTAGCCAACACTGTTTTTTATTTGTTTTTGTTTTTTTAATTGGGGTAGCCCCCAAAATATTGGGACATATAAAAAAAATAAACATTTGCAGCCTGCGGTGCATTTCTTGCAGTCCAATAACGCCATCAGGTTTTTAAAACTGTCCGTCTCCACCAGACGGAATGACAGCATTTCAAAGGCCAGGAATGTTGAAATGCTGGCATTCAGGGCCAGGGATCGCATGTGGGTAGGGGGGTACTTCCTCTTTCTCTCCAGTGTTTGGGAGATGGACAGCTGAACACTTCCATGGGACAGTGTGGAGATGCTGCACAATTGTGTACCTGGCCTATGCTGGTGCAGGAACTCACCCTCCGAGCCACTTGTGAATGACTGGCCTGATAACGGTGGAAATGACCCCTCTTCCTCCTCCTCTTCCTCCTGTGCCACATCCTCTTCCATCATCGCCCAAAGCGTTTTTTCAAGGCGACATAGAAGCGGTATAGTAAGGCTAAAAACGGCGTCAGCGGCACTGGCCATGTTGGTGGAGTCCTCGAAACAGCACAACATGGCACACAGGTCTCGCATGGAGGCCCACTCATTGGTGGTGAAGTGGTGCTGTTCCGCAGAGCGAATTACCTGTGCGTGCTACAGCTGAAACTCCGCTATCGCCTGCTGCTGCATGTGCAAGGTGGAGTTCTTGTGGGCACATTGCAAATGAGGCGGTGAGCGGGAAGGCCGAAGTTACACTGCAGCGCAGACAGGCGAGCAGCAACAGGGTAAGAACGCCAAAAGCGCGCCCACACTTTCTGCAGCCGCTCTGATATATGTGGGTATACACCGTGGTGGTGTAGGTGGAAGTGGCGGTGGTGGAGGAGGAGGAGGAGGTAGCCAACACTGTCTTTTATTTTTATCTTTATTTTTATTTTTTAATTGGGGTAGCCCCCAAAATATTGGGACATAGAAAAAAAGAAAAAAAGAATAAGTGCACTTGAATTGGCTGGGTGAGGCCGGTATAAATGTCTATTCTGCACAAGGTACAGACAAGTCTGGTGGGATCCATGCCTTGTTCATTTTAATAAACGTGAGCTTGGCCACGTTGGCCGTGGACAGGCGGCTGCGCTTGTCTGTGATAACCTCGTGCTGATTTCACGTCCCCATGACGGTGACAACGCATTCGGATGTCTGCCCTATCAACTTTTGATGCAATTTTCCGTGCCTACCATGGTGACAACGGGTAACGGGGAATCAGGGTTCTATTCCAGAGAGGGTTCCTGAGAAACGGCTACCACATGCAAGGAAGGCAGCAGGCACACAAACTACCCTCTCTTGAAGCGGGGAGGTAGTGACGACAAATAACAATACACTCTTTCGAGGCCCTGTAATTGTAATGAGTCCACTTTAACTCTTTTAACTTGGATCAATTGGAGGGCAAGTCTGGTGCAGAGCGACTGACCCGTGCGTGCTGCAGCTGAAACTCCGCTATCGCCTGCTGCTGCTGCTCGCTAAAGCTGCATCAGGGTCCTGGTATGTGGCCGCACAAACGCTGGTGCTCAACACCAGGGGGCGTGCGGTTACCCTGCACCAGACCCGGCTAATCCATTCTACACTGTGACTCCAAATTCAACATCAGGCATACTAGATCCCGGTCGTCCGACCACCGCCCAGACAGTGTCTGGGTCCCAGTCACCGGACTGCCCCCCTGACTGTGAAACTGCGAATGGCTCGTTAAATCTGTTATGGTTCCTTTTATCGCTCCATCTGTTACTTGGATAACTGTGGGAATTCAAAAGATAATACATGCCGACGAGCAGGGGCGGGCTGGGCTGGTGGGCAGTGAGGCAATTGCCCCCCAGGCCGCCCTAAATTCTTTTAAGACCGGCCGCTGCAGGGCTGGCCCTTTAAATGCTGCAGCCAGCAGAGCACTCTGTTAAGAGCCTCAGGCGGCTGTAGTTGCTTCTCTCCTTCCCTCCCCTCCCCTGTAGCGTGGCCGAGCTCCTCTCCGGTCTGCGGTGCCCGGCCGGAGTGATAGGAAGGTGCACACTGAGTGTGCACTTCCTGTCAGTCTGGCCGGGTACAGGAAACAGAAACTCCTGTTCCGCGCGGACCGGAGAGGAGCTTGGCCACGCTACAGGGAAAGGCAGGGAAGAGGAGGGGAGGG